GACGCGTACTGTCGAGGGAGCCATTACAACGTTGTCGCGGTCTTCGGGGTAGTTTTGACAACCATGATCACCATCGTGAATAAGACCGAGTCTAAAGGTAGATAAAAATAAAAGAATATTTTATATTTTTGTAAATGCGTAGCACTTTTTGGACAGGAATACTCACAAATGACCAAGCTCATGAGTAGCTATATGTACTCCACTATAGCTACCGTTATCATGGACGTATCCTACGTTGTATGTGTCATCGCAGATTTCTCCTATGAATGCAGCACCTGTAACACGGGTATCAGTAATGGTTTATTTAATTCAATTTCAAAGATTCGTCATTTTTATTATTTACATACCTAGTACAATTCCGGATTGTAACCTAATATTACAAACAAAAACAGTTATTATTTGAAAGCCGATTTATGTTCTTTACATAGCTACATAGTTTCAATGCTTACTTTCCCATTGTAATGACTGCATCATAATTTTCAAATTTGCTACGGTTGTAAAATTTATTACGAAAGTATTGTCCACAACGGAGCAAAAGCTCGTTAGGAATAACTTGATTATTACTGGTTTTGTTGCGAGATCCATAAATGTATTCCAATGCGGTGGGATCCTGAATATGAATTGATTAAAGTTCGTTCATGATGCACTTCATCGAGTTCCTCATTTTTATTATATTTATCCACGCATTATCTACAACTTACCTCGGCAATTAGAACTCCGGTGACCACGATTTTGACTTTGGGATTGTCAAGTTTACTATATCTTAAATTAACTACATTCCAGAATGTGGCTATATACTTGGAGACTTCTTGAACATCTTTGTTTAATATCCTTAAATAAAGAAATCACTTTTGAAATTGTTTGACACTACGCGTCTATATGTTAAATTATTTATTTATGCCATATACTTACTCATAGAGTGAATAGTCCACTACTATTAAAAGTTTTGGAAACAACGTATCTAAAGGTTTATCCAATTTTTCTTCACTATCGTCCAATTTATCTGGCTTAACTGATAATAAATAATTCAAAAATACGATATTTCAAAACTATTCTATTTTTATAATTGTAAGTAAGTAATATATATTACCGTCTAACATTATCGATCACTTACGTGCAATAGATTTTCCAGACAGACTTACGTTGAAAATGACGTGGTTTCCAGCATTTGATGTCAAATATCGCCATTCTTCAGGTACTGCTTTTACTACTTTTGACTCGTCACTAACACCGAAAATACCGTCCTTTAAATAACAATACACATGAGTACAGTAAATGAAAAGAAAACATTTTATCTTTATTTCATACAATACTCACATAATAGACGGATCGATCTTTATAATAGGCCAGCACGGTGGCCATATTTTTAGAATCTTCGTAGAATGTACCATCGATCTCTTTTTCTTTCTAGTTAGATAATTCAATTAGCTGAAAGTATATAACTTTTCAATTGAGTAAGAAATACTTACGAATGTTGCAGCCTTATATATGTCTTTGTCTTCATGTTGGGTTTTTACATGCCATAGCGGTGTATAACTTGACATAACATCATGCTCTGTAGGATATAAATCAAGCTCGACTGTTTTATTATTTACTACAAATTTAACAGGCCGTAGTTCTCGTTTTGATCGATGTGTCGTTTTGGATTCAATGTTGACAAATTCGTAGCCAAAAACTATTTTGAGAAAAACGATGATAATTACAGTTTCAAATGCAAAGTAGACAAAAATAAATGTATTAGATATTACCATCTCGTCGTTCCCTCCGGAATAAGCTTTTAAATTGATGATCAGTTAATTTGCCATGGATCTACAAAATTGAATCATATGTTGTACTCTATGAGTTAGTAAATAAAGTGATCAAAATCGTTAGAATCGACGATTGAGTAACCCTTATTTTGTTTACTTATTTAACTAGGAAGTGCATACGCAAACGCACGTTTCATTTTTATAAGTTTTGAGATATTTTCATAGATTCTTTTCACGAAGAGCGCAGATGATTAAAAAACCCCCGTATTATTCTTAAAAAGTAATTCATTAACAATGAGCTTTCACTCAGTACTTTTATTGTTGTTATCATTACTTCAATGAACTACGTTCACATGGAACACTATAAAGATACACTGGCTACACCTGTACACATTAGTCTTGGTTCCCTATAGTTATTAATACGTGGATTTACCTCCCTTGATACTTAGTACGGCGAGAAATATTTTTAAATGGTGAGCCACTATAGCAAACACATGAAAATTTCAAGTTTCTGAAAACTTTCATATGCCTAGGGCTTGAACCCACAACTTCTTGCGCAGAAGCCACTTCTTATCCACTGAACCACCGTGACACCAGTAGCTTCTAAGTTAACACTTCAGTATGACAAACTCGATATTAATTTGATTAATGTACCTCTAGGTTAATTCAAAAAAGCCATAAAAAACAACGCCTTATTAAACTCAACATTTCCTTTCATATAAGCTCTCAGATTTAACATGCACAGTTTAGAATAACGTGATAGCAATATTTCTTGCGATTTGGAGAACTGAATTCTAGATAAATGCATGAAGCTTTATAGTAAAAAAATAGATATAATTAGCTGTTTAAAATAAAGTCGTGCGTACTTTCAATTGAAAAAAACTATTATAATAAGATAGAAATTATTGATATAAAAATGTACCACTTAATTTGAAACACAGCTTTAGGTTATGACATTGAACTTCATAAATTTCAATATTGGTATCATAAACTACTCTTTTCATGGACCAAATAATTAAAGTTATTATTCCTCTTCAACACAATACATTTTGCCAGCGAAAAGTTGTAAAGTCTACTATTGGTGGCGCTGTCTCAAAACTATGCACAGATGGAATAAGTGACTTCTCATTTCTATCGTTATTTTTCTCGATAACAATTGTTTATACACTTGTTGTTGCTCATCGCGTATAGCGTATAAAAAACATTTTCATTCTCGGGATACGCGCATGTTGTAAACATAAAGAAAAAAAGTATTCGTGGACGCTCTCCGTCAAGATGACCGTGGATGCCCGACACGCCATCATTTGATGAAGTTTTGAGCCAAGAAAAGATCTTTATCGATCTCCAATACCGTTCCTTTTATCGAGCACGCGTATCGTTCAGCCTTCGCCCACAATTGTGGCAAAATACGCGCTCCCAAAATGCTTTTTTTCTAAGTTAACGTAAATAAAAACGTTAAGTTAACGCGAATAAAATATAAAAAAGACAAAAATGATCTAAGAAACGATGCACCTGCTCTTATTCGTTCACGGATTAACGGCAAGTTGAAAAGGCTCAACGGGTCTCGCTTGACAGGAGCTCGGCCCGTGAACGTGCGCGAGCGCCTTGGGCGTTGTCGTCGCTGTGACGTCAATAATACTAGCTATGCGGAGCACTCGACACACGAAGGTTGTAAGTCCCCACGTGAAATTCAGCCTTCGATTATCGAGGGTCACCTAGGTACGGATAGGTTACGAATGAGAAAGAGTAGACAATGATCGAAGGGTGTAAAAGGGCCGTGCACAATCTCTAAGGCTTAATGAGGGCAGCGATCGGCGGAAAAGTCACGGCGGGGGCGAGAAAAGAGAGGGAACCGACCGGAGCACAGCTCGTAGCGCTCGAAGAGGATTGACTCACTTGAAATTTTCCTGTTGAACAGACGCTGCTCAAAGCATTTTACGCGCACGTGTTTTGTTTTTGTATTTATAATTTCATTGCATAACAGCGGCTTTTTCCGCAAGTCGGAATTTTTATGCCGATCGTTGAAAATAATTAAAATTTTCCTGCTGTGGTTTGTGCCTCTGTGCATATGTGCAACTAATATACTTATCTCAATAAAAAAAGTACTTTAGATTGGTATCAATTATTTTTTTTTAACCTCACGTCTTCAACAAAGTAATTCCGTACACTCACGACTATATTAGTTTTAGAAGTCTGCTTCTTTTATCGTAATTCTATTTTGTATTTCAACCAAAAGCTTTGAAGTATCAAATAAATGATAAGTTTGCAATGAAAGATATTCTGAAACTTCACTTTCAAGGATATACTCTAAGAGCATTAGTTAATAAAACATACAGTGTTTTAGAAAGTAAATAACTGTTTATATTCCATAACATTGTTCATTTTGAATAATATAATTACGAACGTCGAATTATATCGTTAAATGATCAGAAAGTGTTATGAACATTTCGTATGACGTAGCATGTATACCTATGATCATCTCGCATTTTCCAAATGTCTTATTCATTTTTTCTCTGTCATCACGGATACTACGGATAATAAGTACAAATTTAACATTATTTTTTCTAATAATAAACTAAAAGCTGTTAAGACATATCTTGCCATCGATTATACACGTATTATCTTATTTTATAGTAAACGAATAAGTTGAAAATGAAAATTATAAACAAATGAATAATCCCGTTCAATACATTCTCTTTGTGATTTTTAATTAAATAATATATTATTTTGACCTAAATAAATAGAAATGAAAATCTATTTTTCCGAAGTTCAAGCACTTTAGTCTTACTTGTGATTGTTGCTCACTTGACAAAACTGAGTTTAGTAGACAAATTACTAGTGAGCTCAAGACTTGGATTTTCATTTTGTGACAAAGACAACTGATCTACGGCTCAATATTTTTCAGTATATATAAGAATGCTATTGCGGAATTATGTTTAATATTTAGCCACCTGTTCATACTACGGGGAGGATAGCAATAGTTGACAAAATAGGTTTGGTTTGTGAAATTCATGATTTTCTCGAAATCTCAAATAGTGAACTATAATTTGTGAAATTTATATTGGCACAGCTGCCAAAATTGAATTTGCATTTTAAATTCACGTCCCGGTGTAATTTAAATATTAAAATTAACATTGGAAATGTTCTCACTGTATACCTAAGGCTTATTCGATTCAATTTAAAATAACAAATGCTACAAAGTCGTTAATAAAAGTTATTTATTGTTATGTTGTATATAATTTTTTATATTATCTTGGATTTATGTACATTATTTTTAACATCAGCTGTCTTGCTAAAGCAATCTAACGTCGATATGGGTATTTCATGCATTCACATCCTTTCGTTCTGAAAAATATCATGTGTGTTAAGTTGAAGAAAAGCTGAAAATAAAGGTTTTCATCATCCGTAAAATGGACTCACGTTGCAAAGTCATGGAGAATCTTTTTACTGCACCGAGACCAATAGTATTTGTCCACGGCCAAATCGTAAGGTGCCATTATACTTGCGGCTCTTTTGTCTGCTTGATATGATACACAGCCTTTAGCGTTTGATTGACCGTCGTGTGGTAAATTAAGCCTGCGACGCAAACATTGTTTCAACAATTACAATGTATACACTGTATACTATTAAGCTATGCCAATATTATTCTATCAATTCTATATGCTCTCTCTACTTACAAATGTCCAAGTTCATGCGTTGCTGCCAAAAGTCCATTGAAATTCGAATTATCCCTAACAAAACCGGTGTTATAGCTCGAGCCACATATTCTTCCGCGGTAGGCACTTCCTGTAATATTATTACACTAATAGTTTTGCTTAAAAGTCTACTCGATTTATCAATTTCATAATACAATACCTGCTATTATGCCGGTATTCAAGCTGAAAAAGAAATGCCACGTTTATTTAAGTCCGTCGAATAAATAAAGAGATAATCTTGTAAAGCGTCATACTTTGTCATGGTCATAGTTGAATCGTAATTGTAGAAACGAACTTCATTCTTGAATGGCCCACGGAAATAATCACTTGCTCCATTCAACAGACTAACGTGATTGATTGCATTCATATCCGATCGGTTACGAGCCTCATAAACAAATCTCAAAGCAGTGTCGTCCTATAATTATGTAAATAAATGAAACGAATCGGAGATTCCTAATTCTAAACTGAATTACGCTCCTAACAATTTACCTTAGCTATTATAACACCAGTAATTGCAACCTTCACTTCGGGAGATTCCAGTGTACTATACTTCAAATTAACGGAATTCCAGAAAAGAACTGCGTATTTTATGGCTTCGACGACATTTTCTGAAAGCTTTCTAAAAATAGAAAAGAATTACAAATTAATATGAAATATTACAGCATTGACGAATAGTTTGAAAATTAATCTACTTGAAATAGTTGTATTCTATGATAAGAAGAAGCTTGGGATATAGTATATCTAATGGTTTGTCCAACTTTGCGTTATCATAGTCAGGATCATTGTCTTCAACTACAAATACAGTCAGAGATAATTAAAAGCTTATCAGATTAAAGTACGGATTAAAAGCTGAATTAAATCGAAAAGTAACTAACTAATTTCGGTCCTAGAGTCAGCTTGATCAACATCGAAGATTACATGATCATCGTGAGATTCGTTTCCTGATTCAGTCCTCCACGATTCAGGTAAAGATCGCACTATTTTCCTGTTCATACTCTCTTGAAATATGCCATCCTAGAAAAATGATTATAATCAGATTGCTCAGAAAACAGCACATAAATAATAACGTTATTTCAACATAGAAAAATAATTATTCATTGCTTACGTAAAAGATGTATGGACCCTTATAGTAGGCTAATAATGTAGCCATATGTTTTTGATCTTCGTAAAGAACTCCATCGAAATTTATTTCACTCTAAAACATACATTTTATTTAGTAAAGCATATTTGCTTTTTGGTTAAACTTTATCAAAGGCAACTTCTCATTTTTTACTTGATCTAATTTATTGAACCGGTGTTTTGTAGATTTTCCATAATCGGTTTCAACAGTCCATACGGGAGTATTTTGAGGCAATGCGTTGTATTTTGAAGGTGTGAGGTTTAATTCAACCTTCTTTCCATCAACTGTAAATTCAACTGGTCGGACTTCCCTTTTCGCTCTGTAAATTTTCTTAGTCTTCAGGGTAGTAGTTTTGTAGTTAGGCACTAAACGTACGCATATAACATTAACTTCTATTTCACTTTATTAACCAAGATTATGTGAATACTTACATTGATCCCGACTTTGATGAAATATCCTTCTAATTTCAGAATCACTCAAGTTATCTAAGATCTAGGAAAAAGTTTTTAAAAAATCACAATAAATGACATTTTGTTAGGAAGAAAACAAAATTTACGATTAACAAGTATTATAGAAAGTAATTATTAACAAATTCTGGCATAAAAATGAATCAATTAAAAAAAATTTTTAATTGTACACGAGTGTGATAATAACATCTATAAATGTTGACTTTGCACATATTGAATGTTCTTATAGCAATTAATCCACTCAAAATAACTACGTTTAAGATATTTTAAAATAGTCAAATAACCTGATTTGCATGCACAGAGGCATTAATGAAAATTGCCAAAATTAAAACGATCTTAATCGACATTTTGGAGCAGAGGCCGATTTGCATCTGGCTCGAATTCAAGCGAACTTAAATACTTGAACAAAAATTTTGCCAAAATGCACTTGTGTACACTATAAGAGAATCACAAACCATAAATTCATTCATTAATTTGTAATCACACCGAACAATGATAAAAATGATCATTAAATCATTGTACATCTCATTTCGTTCAATTTTTCCTGAATTTAATTCCAGCGATGAATTTAATTTATACAATCTTAAAATACGTATTCCTCCTTTTATCTTGTTAAATTAAATCAATCCGAATTCTTTTTATTTGGTTTTTATAATTATTCACATGGTTACGCATTCAAAATCTTAATATGACAAAATTTGTTAGAATTACTTTTAAAAAAATTACTAGTCTTTTCGAATTTTCAAAATTTTTTATAAAATGTTAATTAAATTTGCCGATGTAGCGTTAAAATAATTAAAAATAAAAATGAATATTAATATAATTAGAGTATAGTTTGACCTAAAACAAATAAATGTTATCAATTACGTCCAGTGTTTTTGATCGAATTTCTTTTATTAACTGGCTTTATTCTGAACAAACAAAATGAACTGTTTTAAACGCCAAGGCTATTATTAAATAAAATATGTAGAATATTCATTTATCAAAAGTAGATTGGAAGATATTTTCTTTGGTGGGAGGGGGTAATATAAATGAAAAAGGTTTATTTACAAAATAAAAACTATTTATTACGATCAATAGCTTGTAACATTAATTCACATTACGTAAAACGCGGAGGACCTTGAAATTTTTGTTGCAATTGGTACATTGGTGATTGAACATTTGACATCTGTTGCTGTGTTTGGCGTTGTAAATATTGTTGTTGCGACACGGGAATGTGATCACTTGGCGTTGGATTAGTATTGTGTGGAATGGCTGGTATGGCAGAAGGTGGATGTCTGTGGTTGTCTAAAACATTTTTCCATAACTTAATTTTCTCCTCGTATTTCTGTATAAGTTTGTCTTTGTATGCTATTTCCTCTCTCATTACAGTAACTTCATTGTTAATATTAATTTCGGGCTTTGCGACCGATATAAAGAAAGCATTCTGCAAAAAGTAATTGTCAACTTGTCGAGCTAAATCTATAAATTTCGAAATCGTTTGCTCAACATTTGTTTGATGCAAATTTTTATCGGCCGATGTCCCAGTCTTGACATTGAACGGTTCATTTTCTACTAACAAAGTTAAGCATTGTCTCGTTGCTTCCTCGAACTCGTCCATCAAAGTCCCAATGCCGTTTGTTGACATTGCCATCACTTGTATCTATACAAAAAAACGTAAATAGTAGATTCAGTAACGATATTTGACACCTATCGTAAACGTACGTGCCATTTAATTTACATATCAAGTGATACTTACGTAGCTATTTCTTAGTTTTCTAACTACCGACAGACCACGGCGACAATTGACGATCAATAACGTGTGACACTAAGCAAAATAAAAATCAATATAGCACTAAAATGTAGAATTGCAATGCTGATGACATGGTTTTGCTGCTGTGTCTTGCGTCGGCAACGAAAACATCTGACTGCGTGCCCTGAATGCCAGAGAACGCTAGGTGAGCGCTGCAATCGCGTCTTTCCACGAGCGCCAAGCCATGCTGAAGCGTTCTCATTGGACGAGCCGTTCGCGCCGTGGACGCTTGCCAGTCTAACGGAAAACTTTCTTTTTCGTAGCCTATGAGCATCATTGTATCTCAACGCCACCGTCACGTCACGCAGTGCTGTGGGAACCCGCCCCTTATTTGTCAGAGCGACTGTAGTGATGATATTTAAAAATAATCCTGTATTTTTCTTTCACTACACGGTCGAATTATATGCTTTAATTTTTAATCGTAATAAAGTATTACGATGTTAGGTCGACGTTATTGATTAATAATCTATAAATCTCACCTTGTAGCCTGAGAATGCATTATATAGATTAAAATAAATGTCTCTTAATACAGTACATCAATTATTAAATTAATACAATACATCAATTATTAAATAAGTATGCTTATATTTTATTTATACTTTATGTAATGTTATTTGTTATATAATGTCATTTAGTTCGCTGTTTGCATTTGTTGATCAATAATTAATGAAAATAAAATTTTAAGTACTAAATTTAAATTATAATTTACAATGCAATTTGTAGAATTTAACGAATTGATTCATTTTAACCATTAAATATGTACCTCTGCACTGCCATATTACAATAAGTTATTATGTAGTTTTACTATAGAAATTATATCATCCGCAGTAATGTAATAATCAATATATAAATAACAATCTTAAATACAACCTCGTTTAACAATTCACGTGCATTCATATCATATTTATTTGTTATAAAAATAATTTCATACTTCAATTTTTTTCTAGTCTGGTAGGGCCATATAACTTACATAGAAACACCACATTTTTGTAGAACTGGTAAAATAATTTAGATATGTTCCGATTATTTTTAACTGGAAGTCATGATTCTTTGGTTGTTTAAAAAATTGTAAGTATATTTTTATCATCAATTTATTAGATTTTTGAACAATTTTTATGTCAACATATTTATGTTTTCTATTGTTTTTTTTGTGAAAGTCTGTTGGTTAATTGAAATTATTCCCCACAATAGTTCATTCATTTGAAGTGTTCTTCGAGCGTCGATTCCCAACGTCCTCACCAGAGTTGTGTACTTTCCGAAAAAAAAGAGAAAGCTGGTGCACGATTCTGCAGCATTGAGTACTCGACGTGTATTTAGCGGTCTCGCGTTGCAATGGGGCTTCCCTTTCCGTATAGCATACGTCATCGTGCGCCGATAAGGCTCGGCCCGGAAACTTGGCAACGACAATTCTGCAGCTTATATACCTTTACCAGCAACAATTGATTAATTCCCTCCTGGGCGGCAACTTAAAGAGAGAGGGAGAGGCCTCACTCGTAGCTGATGGATTGTTCTTGGCCAACTTGCCAGTACGGGGCCTCCATTGTTGATTGTTGCTTTCCTTCACTTTCCTGGAACAATCGAACAGAAAGTTCGAAACTATGTCATTATTATCAGGAAAATATGCGTGAAGACGGAACGTATAACTTAAAAAATGGTTCTTTTGTGTGATAATCACTATGTCTAATTTTCCACGTGAATGATCCTATTATAATATAAATATCGTTTGTACATTCGGTTTGTAAAATTGATATTATATGATAAAGTACATAGTAGTCATAGTTTTATTACGCAGTATTTTCACTGTGCAAATTTTACAATTCAATTTTTAGTAAAAGCTTTGAGGAAACATATCGCAGTGCGTATACGATATTGTGAGTTATCTAACTTTTTCAATACGATTTTTATTATTCGCATAGTAACATTTTATTAAAATAAGAAACAGTTGTAGAAACATTTCAATGGGTTCCAATTAAAAGTATTTGTCAATTTTGTTTCAAAAGAGACTGTAAGCCACGTCAAAAAAACTTGTACAACCTTGTTTTGTAATTATAAAAACTTCAGCTAGTTTAGCTAGCTTCAGCAGTGCAAATTAATGCAAACGAAGTTAACTACAATGCTCTTACTGGCAACTCTCTCTCTCTCTCTCTCTCTCTCTCTTTCTCCACTCTTCTTAATAAGCGCAATATTTATTCAAGCAAATGTATACGTATCGGAGAAAGACAAAGGTAACTGGAGCAAGGCGTATTGCGAGCTCAGCACGAGCGAACTGCAAAAGCAATAGGACAAAATACAAAAGCTTCTAGGTAACACTGTACACCGGGATGATTAGCAAAACACTTTTTGCAGAGCGAGTTGCAGTTTTTTTTTCTCATTTACCGGCAACAGGGGGAAGGGGGAGAGACAGAGAGAAAGCGAGGCGGCGGCACACCCTAGGCGGATGTAAGCTCGCGCTTCTGCAAGCGCCTCGGATTCTTTATTCGTTTGTTTGACTGGCGACGCGCACGGCTTTCCTTTGTGAATCTGCAAGACTTTTGATACTGATCAGCTCTGCCAAGCCTTTTTCTACCTTGTATTCTTCGAGGCGAGCTGCCATTCAATACCGAGAATTAATGCTTCTTCAAAGTCTTTTCAACTTCATCCTCTATCGTGCTTCTAGATATCGTCTTTTACCTATTTGAATTTTGCTTATCGAATTTTCTGCGATGTACATGCAGAGACTAATATAGTCCTTACACTTAGAAAACGTTTCGCCAGTACTCATCAACTGTATATGCTGGCACCCCAGTACTTCTGAATTGCTTTTCATAAATTCAGTACGACATTTTACAATCCTTGAACACTCTCGCATGATGTGAAAATCTTATTCCTTTTGTCGAAGTAACTGTCACCGCGGAATAAAAAACTGAAAGCTGAATTGGCAATCTAAAAGGCGCAGTGATAAAAGAAATGATGGTGTAAAGTATAAACTGGCGCATAAGGGAGACAATAGGAGACTAACGAAAAGACGCTAAGTAAGTGTTTTCGCGAGAGAACTGGCACAGCTCTATACGTATAAGGGACTGCAGGTACCTACATGAAAATGAAATTTTCGCGGAATCTCGTTAAAAGCTGGTATGAATTGGGCGGCAGGGGCATCGAGGGCGCGCAGCTGAGCTTTAGTATTTTTCAGGGTGTGTAGCCTCGCATCGGCCTCCGCGTGTGCGCGTGTGCGCGTCGTGAATTTTATTTAACTCTGCCTGCCGTAAAGAAGTTATTATCTGTAGCGGCGCAGATGTGCGCGGAGTAAGTGCCGCACGGGCGAGAAACGAACAGCAGAGCCGGCAGACCTCCCGCAGCCGTGATTTATTCGCGTAATTTAAGCTGGTCACTCGACTGGCAATTTTCTCGACTCGACTTTTCGGTTTTCAACGCCGCGCCGTGGCACCCCTTCAATGCGCTGTCCTCGAGGGGCGGGAGGAGGCTCCAGCCACGCTCTCTCACCCGCGCGAATATTAAAGCTCACGCGAGCGCCAGGAGATGGAGGCAGTGAGGCCGTCTATGTCTGCGAAAAAATAGGCCGAGCATTCAAACGAGATTTGACGCTTTCGCAGCTGTACGACAGCCGTCGCGAACAAAGCGAGGTGTGTTACTCGACAAACACGGGCCGCGACGCGGAGCCAAAATGAAAAAATAGAAAAGAAAAAAAACAAAAGGATGGGAGGACGAAAAATGAAAAAAGAAAGGAAGAAGAAAGCGCTGGCGCGGCCTTCAAATGGAACTCGTGTGCGCTCGCGCTCGCTTGCCACTTGCCACCTCGAATTATGCTCAAAGTGGGCAATAATTGTGTCGGAAGTGCACTTAGCGCGAAAGTTAGCGGTGGCGGGCTGACTGCTGTTGCCACACTTCCTGTTTCCCGCAGCCCTCCGGGCTGTTTGACACCTGCGTCTATAAGTGCGCGCGAGTGTGCGCAGCATGCATCCAAGTAGGATGCAGAGCAGGCTTTTGCCAACCTTTTTCTCGCGCGTTATCGTGTTTGCCAGCGCGCCACTCGGAGCTCCATCTGCACTTTTGCTCTACCGTGTGCTTCTCGCATTTAGCCGCGATATTGACATTCCAACCAAATTCTATTCTCCAGACGTTTCTTTGTCAGTTGCCAGAGGTGAACTTTAATCTGTGATAATAAATATTCGCATGCCCACGTCATGCTAGCGGCGACGAGCAAAACTATTCTTTCCGTCCTCTACTAACATAAGTTCCATTGCGTGCGGTAGGTTAGCAGGAGGTTGAACAGATATCAGAGTGTGGGAAACTGGAGCAAAGTCCGAACTCGACCCATATACTCTGCTCAGCCACATAAACCCTTTTCAAACGTTCTTCCTGTACTAGCTCCTTTTCCTCCTCGTATACCCTCTCTCTCGTTCTGTGTCACTTTGATGTTGGCCGCCTGCAGCCCGCGGATTTTAACGAGATTGAGTCTTACACACGACAACTTCAGAGAGGATCCCGGCTTTTCCCCGCTTTCTCTCTCTCTCTCTCTCTCTCTCTCTCTCTCTCTCACTCTCTCTCTCTCTCTTTATTCTTTATTGAGCTTTGAATCTCTTGAACAAACACTCGCTGGATAAACACGTTATATCCGCGGCTTTAGTCAATTACCGCGGACTGTTCTCTGCGATCACACATATTTCTTTTACCGAAAGACTGAATAAGCGTAGTCTTTAGAAAATTGAATGTGTTATTGGTTTTACTCGAATTCTCTACTATTCTCAGTATTGGAATTCGATAGTTATAGCACATAGTAATGGCTTGTTTGTTCGGCGCGAATAATCAATATTCATGAATATATTTCTTTTTTAATAAAGAAACGCGTTTTAGGTGCCTCGCTTCGCAAATTGAAGTTGGGACAAATAATAGGCTTTGCCGCGATGTACACGTGAAATTAATCGTCGGATAAAGCCGCCGTAGCTTGACCTTATCGAAGGTGTGCGACGAGAATCCGCGGAAGTGTCCGACGCGCGCAGCAATGCACGTCGCGTTCACGCTCGGCTCGATCCCCCGACAATCGTTAACGACCGATAGAGTTTTAACTGGCGCCGAGTTGGAGCCCCCTTTGCTTCTTGTCGCCAACGCCTGCATCGGACGTGTGCTCGGTG